ACATACATATATACATCCATCCATCCATCCATCCATCCATCCATGCATGCATGCATGCATGCATGCATGCATGCATGCATGCATGCATGCATACATACATATGTACATGCATACAAAAATACATACAAACATACGTTCATACATACACGCACACAGACACACAACACACAGCAAACCTTTGCATTCTCGTCCATACTAGACAACAATGCATGCTATTTTGGCGGATCATCGGTTCCAGGAAGCTGTTTAATCCGAAGCCCTAAGCCGAAAATAGGGGCCTGAATAATCAGCAATCTAATTCCTTAGGGTTGCTCACTATAACTATACTAGAACATACACCAAAACTCTTTCCGAATTTTCAATTCTCCTATATTTCCCATAGCTACCGTTGTAGACCCTTTTGAAAGGGAATCCCTGAAGGAGCCCTACTCGTATTATCATGGCCCCGTCCTTCGCGGTTTGAACTCCAAGCTCCCTGGCCTGCAAAGCCCCTGCGAGTCTCCCTTGAGGCAGTCGCAGGTGCACATGGAGAAGGTCCTTGATGATGAAAGGCAGGGGTTTTGGGTTTAGGGGTTGGGGTTCAGGGTTTAGGGTTTAGGGTTTAGGGTTTAGGGTTTAGGGTTTAGGGTTTAGGGTTTAGGGTTTTGGGTTTAGGGATCTTGCTACAGGGGTTTCATAGGGCTTTATCATTGTTTTTAACGTTTCCCAGGCTTCCCAAAAGCGCCAGGACCGCGGAGCTAGACCACGTCGCCAACAGCCACTGAGCAAAGTCCTTCAACTTGCCAAACTCCGAGAACCTGATAACCACACCTCAGCACCTAACAACTTCTCGAACCTTGGACATGCGACAGCAAGCCCCATGACTCCCAACGAGTTTATGCAGCACATTACAAACTGAATGGGACTCGAAACACTAAGCCATAGACCCTAGACCATCAAGAAAACACGCCTTCAAAGAAGCGCTCCGAGCCCAAAATCAACGCTTTAGAAGCTCTAGAAACGCCGAGGGCCCAAAACAGCTCCAGAAAATTCCCAAGGAACCGCATGGGATGACCTTAAATGAAGGACCACCCTGTACCTCCAATATAGGCCCCATAGTAGTTCCTTCTTGGGGTCACCTTATAGGATTCTATATATGAACCCCAAAAAGGACCTACTTTTCTATATATGAACCCCAAAAAGGACCTACTTTTCTATATATGAACCCCAAAAAGGACCTACTTTAGGGCCTATGGGTACTCTGTGTAAGTATTATAGCTAAGCACACAGCAGACCCAGGTTCTTGAGGCCCATCTGGGGGCTTGAGCATTTTCGTGGGATTGGGTTTAGGGTTTAGGGTTTAGGGTTTAGGGTTTAGTTTTTTTTTTTATAGGGTTAGGGTTTAGGGTTTAGCGTTTAGTTTTTGTTTTCTTGTTTTTGTGTAGGGTTTGGGTTTAGGGTTTAGGGTTTAGGGTTTAGTTTTTTTTTTTGTAGGGTTTGGGGTCTTGTTGGAGGATTCACAGACGTAGGAAGCAAGATTAGGAGTACCGTGGCTGGGGTTGCGACTATTCCTATGGTCACCCTAAACCCTAAGCCCCTAAACCCCTAAACCCTAAACCCTAAACCCTAAACCCTAAACCCTAAACCCTAAACTCTAAACCCTATTCCTATGGTCACCTCACTTCTCCCCCTGCCCACCAGGTCTCTGCATCTTCAAAGCCTCATGGAACATTACGGCGCCTTTGACTCCCTAAATCCTAAAACCCTGAACCCTAAACCCCTAAAGCCCCAACACAGTAAAACCTAAAACCTGCGAACTTTGAATCCCTGTAAATCCCTTTGAAATCCCGATGTAGCACACCGAAGTCCCATAAATCCCCTTTGAAATTCCGATGTAGCACACCGAAGTCCCATGGAGGCAGTCGACAGGGCGAGCTCCTCAGGGGGCTTTGCATCCACTCTGCTAGTCATGTTGGGGTCTTCTTATTTTCTGGTTTGAGTTTAGGATTTAGGGTCTTCTTCTTTCACACTTATGTCGAACTGGGAACACGGTCGATGTCAACACGCTGGGAAGCGCTATCAGACGTGGTTCTGCCCGCGCGCTTTTCAGACATGCTGCTGATAGAACAACCCAATAAAGAAAACTCCAAACTTGTTAGCAGAATGCCGTACGGCTTACGATACCCTACCCGGACATGTACTTGCCATCGTTCTCAGGCCAGTTAAGATGATTGCTTGTTTTTGGGTTCCATGCTTGTGTGTCTGTAGCTTGTGACAATTTGAGCATGAGGTCATTTCTCCATTTTGCAAAAGCCCCCCTAAACCCTAAACCCTAAACCCTCGGCATAGAACCTAAATCACTAGATTTCTAGTGTTTTAGGACTGTGGCTTAGCATCGCGAGCTTTGCTTCGGATGGCGGCGACCATTGGCAGCACGAGCCGGGTGACGTGCCAGCACTTGCACATGTAAATGGTTTAGGGTTTAGGTTTTTGGGTTTAGGGTTTAGGGTTGGACTTCAGGGCAGCATCTGATCCTGGCGCTGCTATAGCATTGCGAGAACCTTCCTGTGAAAACAGGTGATAACTTACGATATGCGTTGGATAGCAATGCCGTCGTTGCCCCGCTATAATTGCTGCATTTGTGGCTTTATCTGGTGTTTTCACAGCGCTATCTCTGAAATTTTCGTCTGAGCTCTGGGCACTCCAAACCAGTGCCTCTCATTCCACCCGGCAGACCCTGAGCCAGGCAGCCGAAACCCCAAACCAGGAGACCCTGAGCCGTAAAGCCCTATACTATAGGATACTATAGGGTTTAGGGTTTAGGTTAGGGTTTAGGGTTTAGGGTTTAGGGTTTAGGTTAGGGTTTAGGGTTTAGGGTTTAGGGTTTAGGGTTTAGGGTATAGACAGTCCTACAGAACCCTATTCAAGAGCCCAATGGAGCAAGGTCCTGAAGCCCAAAGTGCTGGGGGTTTCCGAAAGGATCGAAGGCTCCTTCCACTCGCCCCGGGCAGTGTCAGACCTTGTTTACCCTAAACCCTAAACCCTAAACCCTATTGATCCGATAAAACTGGAACGATACAGAGAAGATTAGCATGGCCCCTGCGCAAGGATGACACGCACACAAATCGAGAAGTGTACCAAGTTTTTACAACTTAAAAAAACCCTAAACCCGACTGTAAACACCCCATAAGGCACAGGTTTTCTGTTTTGAAGCTTCCAGTTTCAGAGACGGTTGCGGACGCCTGCATGCACAACGCGACCCTCGCCCTAAACTCTAAACCCGTTCCCACAAAAGCCCAATACACCTTAATGACCTGAAATCATAATATTAAGGCTCCTAAACCCTAAACCCTAAACCCTAAACCCTAAACCCTAAACCCTAAACCCTAAACCCTAAACCCCTAAACCCTAAACCTATACCACTTTCCGCGGTATTGGGCCCTCTGGGTCCCTTCTTGATGACCTGATGGAGATCCCCAGATTTTTGTCCAGTTGTAAATGCCCTGACCTGAATCAATGTTTAGGGTTTAGGGTTTAGGGTCAATCCTTTCGAACCATGAAACCCAGAGAACGCTGTTAACGGCAGATTTAGCTCTAATGTTGGGGCCTTAATAGTTAGAATAGGGTTTTGGGGGTTCCTTATTATAGTTATAGTACAATATACCCCCAAGCCCTATTCTAATTAGTCAGGGCCTTAAACCCTAAACCCTTATAGGAGCCCTTATACTGTAGTAACCCTTATAGACCCTTTTAAGAACCTTTCAAAGGAACCCTATTCTAATGATTGTATGCCCCGCAGCTCTTAACCCAAGGCCCTAAACCATGCAGGTGTCGCCAGAGGACGATGTGTTCTCTAGCCACCTGGCCGAGAAGCTACGGTTTAGGGTTTAGGTTTAGGGTTTGGGATCTAGGGTTTTGGTTTAGGGTTTCAGGGTTTATGTTCTGGCTGCTGCCGTTGCCGTTGTCAGCGTAGTGGTGTAGTTCACCTGAAGCTAGCAACGAGAATTCGCATGTCGTAATATGCAAAATGTCAGGCAACCCGCACCGACATTTCTCCCCGGGTGCAACGTTAGAGGATGAAGCATGATAGGTTGAACTTGAGAAGATGTGTCACGGGAAGCTGCTGCCTCCGTCACCTAGCATAGTGCAGCAGGAGGACTGCTTGGAGGATCATGGGACTTAGTAAATAGGGTTATAAATAAGGTAACTATAATTATAACCCCAAATAGGGTGCTTATAACCTTACTTACTAAGTCCCATGATCCTCCAAGTGCAAGAATGTGATGCAATTGTCTTTTTCTCTCAGGAAAGGAAACGACGAAGCCTAAACCTGAACGGACAGCATGCTTCTGCGTCTATGACAACGAGACGCCCGGCTGCAGTTGCAGAAGTCACTGAATATAGAGGGCTGAGTAATTAGTAGCAGCTATTCCCCTGCAGTCCCTATCTAAGAAGCCTATATTATACCCTGCAAAACCTTATTCTAATAAGATCGATTTGCGCACATGTCGTTCCAGGGCTCTAGAGGCAGCTGCTTTGCCATCAGAGGGTTTTGAGGCTTCGGGGTTTCGGATTTGGGGTTTATGGTCTCGAGTTTTTCGGCTTCGGGTTTTGCAAGTTGGTTTCCATATGGGGGTTCTTTCAGGGCCTAGGTTATCTCGATACACAGTCCGACAGAGACCCGCTTCGAACCCCAAACAAGAGGCCCACGGCCCCAAATCTGCGCCCGAGATCGACAAAAGGCCATAAGTCAAACAATACAGTACCGGCCCTCCAGCCTGAACCCTAAACTGGCCCTAAACCCTAGACTCTAAACCCGAAACTTTAACCCAAAGCCCTGAATCCTAAGCTCTAAGTGTGATTTGTTTTGGCCTTCAAGAGGCCTTAGCTCACGCCTATCAGAACTGCAGCAGCAGTTGAATTTTCAGATGGATGCTTGGGCGTGAAGATCAGCTCGTAGAGTTTGGGGCATGAAGACCACCACCGCCATGACGACGAGTACAGCTAAGGCAGCTCATGTTGCCATGTCAATTGGCACCACTTCACCATAACCATCCCACGGCCACCGCCAACCATGCTGCTTAAACCTTGCAGCAACAGACATATCTCCTTGTCTGCTGGCCTTGCCATGATCAACAACTTGAATTCAGTCATCGAGTCCTTGGAGTTGGAAACAGCATTCTGCCACCCGGGGCACGAAGGAGAAAATCGCCCAGTCCAACGATCTCGTGAATTTGGTGCACGAGGTGAGCCCTGCTACAGGATCATCAGGGAGTACCTGGTTCTTAAAGTCGAAGCCTTGATGGGTTGTGTGAGCTCATCGAAGGGCGAACGTACGAATGTTGCCAACTTCGCCGAGGCTCTGGACCATGCAGAGCTCAAGTTGTTCAAGCAAATTGATGCCGCGTGCTTCTGCAAGCTGCTCGTCAATGCGCAATCTTTCCCCACCTGCATGCCAAACATCAGAGGATCGGCTGTCTTTGGGAAGGACGGGGGCTGTCCCTTCGGTTCCTTCGATTTGCTCCACATGCAAGAGAAATTGCAGCCGCCCATGCCAGAGTCGGAGCAACAGTTCATGCGCGTGCATAAGAACAGTGTAGTGAGCTGGTTCGACAACACGAGTTCAACACTTGCTCGCACTTGGGTTTGCAGGCTCTTTACAAGCATGTTGCGACTGGGTCCAACGGGAGAGAGGAACTTCTGGAACTGCATATATGTTCGCCGCCATCATGAGCAAGGACACTCAGCCGGAAATTCGTCCTCCACCGACGTGGAATACTACCAGCAGAAGCATTCTGAGTGCGATTTAGCCCGGGGTCCAGCGGACCAAGGAGGCACCAGTGATCGCCTTTGGGACGCATTGTGCCGACATTGCTGCTTCTTGCTGTCATCGTCGATTTGCTCGGAGACGTCTGGAAAGATGCAGCATTCGGGACGTTCGGAAGTTCCCTACTGTATGATTTTGCTGTTCACGGAAGATTTCCACGAGTGGCGCCGTTGCTTCTTGCAATATCTGGACAAGCCACCCGACGATGCAAAGACGAAGCTCGTTCGAATTTTTTATGGTGAGACACCCAGGGTTCATGCATCGTTCCTTCTTAAGCTATGCGACGAGGTCCAGAAGGCAGCAGAGTCCATATTCGGTGTGTCGTGGCTTTGGGCCGACCGTGCCGCGTCCATAGGAGCAGCATTTACGCTGGTCGAAGGAACCCCGAATTCTTTGGTCTCGCCGCCAAGTCGTCCTTTGATGAAGAAGAGCTGCTGCGGGCGCTAGTGGGACAGGACGGTGCGGCCCAATATGCTGCTCTTCGATGGCGCAAGATCGCATGCAAGTAAATTCCTGCCCCTCCAGCAGTTGCAGGTCGTCTACGCAAGAGCCGGCAAGGCGAAGTTGCGCAACACTTGCTGGTTCATGGTCATACATTTGACCATTCAGTATTAGTCTAACCTTGACTGTCCGGGAGATGATTAACCCCGAGAACAACCGATCGCATTGGAAGCACTCAGGGAGACGATGTCGATATCCCGCGACATCGACTGGGTCGTTTACCACCGGGCTTGCAGTTTGATGCCCAGGGCTGCCAAAGACAGGTCGTTGAATCCCATCAGGATGCTGCGTGTTGACCTCTTCCACGCTTCCGGCCCTCTCGTCCATCGCGCCTGCACAAGCGCTTCGAAGGGGCCAACACCTCAGTCGTTCCGGTCCTAAGTCGGCATCTGCAGCACGATGTCTCCCTCGGTCCACCCGTTCTTCGTGCTCTGTTTGCAATTACGACTTGCAGAATGCAGGAACGGCAAAGCCCAGATCGAACCCCTCATCCGAAGAGAACATCACACAGTGGCCGCAGGAAAATTTTTGCGCGTGAATTCAAATTCAGCGGTGCATGCTCGGCTTCTTCAATGTGCGATGCTGGAGTGGCACACCGGACGATGCCGGAGGGTCGCTGCTCTAGCCAATTTCTTTCGCGTGCTGAACGCATTGGATGTATGTAATGCGGAGGCATGACGTCGGATGAACTGGTTGCTGTCTGTCACGACAGTCGCTGCTTCGGATATAAACACATTGCACAGGCCAACATGGTGACATCAATCCGGTCGTCTGCGGCCGCAGAAGTCGTCTTGCTGGGGGAAGCCTGCACAGAAGGAAACCGACGGCTGCGGAACGCATGGTTGCAAGCTCTGTACAAGGACATGCGTGGCCGCACATCTCCCTGCATGGTCTTGCATCCCCGAAGCTTGCTAGACGTTTCAGAGCATCCGCATTGGGACCACCAAGGCGGTCAAGGCGATGACGGCGACACTGCCAACCAGACGAAGACGGCCACGACACCATGACAAGAATGTCCAGGTTGACAACACGTAAGCAGAAACATACAAAGCCACGAGAAAACATGCAAAAGACTCGAGAATCAGGGCCTGCACTGAGCCCTAAACCTTAAACTAAACCCTGTACACCCCTAAGCCCTTGAACCCCGCAACCCGAACCCTGAGGTCGGACCCCAGGGTCTGCGTCTGGCAAAGTGGGAAGTTAATCCCATCGCCCAACATCGCCACGCACCTGGGCAAGGCCGGGGGTGTAAGTTTGTTTTGGTTTGTAGTGCTACATGGAAACAAACGGTAATACGGTTGAGACCGGTTTGGAGGGCTTAGAGGGTTTACAGGTTGCAGAAGGCTTATATGGTCAAAAACGTTTTATAAGGTTGATGCATTTCAGGGTTTCACTGTTTAGGGAGGGTGCAAGGTCCCATCGGTGTCTGGTAGGGTTTTTGAACGGGTTTCCTGCAAACCCTGAGATTTGTGTTCACTACAACGGGTGTCTTTATCATGACCATGAACCTCATGATTATAATCATGTTTGTTGTGGTTTTTAGATTCATGCAACCTTAGGCTGTTGTGATAATGCATATCTTTGCTGGTAGAACCAGGGTTTTGCATGTTGTCTGATACTAGCATTGCAGTAGTTCTTCTTTACAGGATTTAACTTGCATTCCCAGAGAGCCCAATACCCTTAATTAAGGAAAAGACCTTAAATCATAATATTTAGGCCCTTATGATCTAAGGCATATTCCTTATTTAAGGGGTATTGGGCTCTCTGGGTTGGCTTGCCCTTTACCGACTTGAATCCTACACCCCAACGCTGTCAACCCTACGTGGTAGTGCCGTAACGAAAATCTTGGCCCGAAAGCCGATATCAGTTCGCTGTTAAAACCGTAGGGCCAGCAAAAGCGTCAGTTAAAACACTGTAAAGTCACATCAGCCACTATGAAAATGCGAAGCTCCAAAGCTCTCAGTTGATCCTGGGCCTGGTCTTCTCCGTAGTGCTCGCGGCGGCGGTGGCCCTTCAGCTGCATCCTGGGTATAGGGAGTCGGGGGTGGGGGTCTGGTTTAGTAATTCAGGGATCCGAGTTTTGAGGAAGGAGCGGCTGGGTTCATGGATTTTGTGGATGTGGCGTTCATGGTCGTCAGGGCCTGTCTTCTCAAACCTCATCATAGAGGGCTCGGAAGGCGATTGGGGAGGTTTTGGGGGCTAGCATTCGATTCTCAGCGGTTTTGCTTCGAGGTCCGCAATGCCACCAACTTGAAATTTCGGGGAGTCGTATGGGATCCTTGATATACTTTCCGTTGCTTTGTGCAGCCAGTAGAGTCCCAAACCGTTGGAACTCGAGAATGGAGTTTCCGAACATGTGGGGTGCTCTACTTTGGGCTTTGTAGTCAGCATCCGACCCAGTTTGGGGTGGCCTATATTCTGAAAGTCACATACATGACCAACCGCCACCCTGAACCATAAACTTCAATCGCCCAAACACAGAAGAAGCGGGGATTTCCTGAACACATCCAAAAAAGCAGCAAGAACCATTCACACAAAACGTGCACAAATATGACAAATCCCAAGATCCTGAGCCCAAAGGCCTAAACCCAAAACCCAAAGACCCAGCCCCAGCTCTGGGGCCCGAACTTACGATCTAGGCTCCAGAATTTGGGATCACACCCACCTGTCCTAAACCTGAAAGCCTGAAACCTCTGGGGTTCAGGGCTCAGGGGCCCCCAAACTCCGCCAGCTTCGAGCCTCGAAACCTCAACTCTAACACCCTGAAACCCTCGGAAAAGCTACAAGAGCCCCGTAAAACCTTCTGACAATGCGCAGCGTGAAGCCACCAAAATATTTGAACCCTAAACCCTAACTCTAACATCCTAAACCCGGAAACCCTTAACCAGAAAACCAAAAAACCCTAAAGCCAAAGCCCAAAACCCCTAAACCCGTAAACC